GGTTCTGTTTGACCCAGCTATCCCTCTGCTGGGTATCTTTGCAAAAGCATTAGAGGAATCATATATCACAATGATATATGCACACCCATGTTAATAGTGGCACAGTTTGTAATAGCTAAAACTTGGAAACAGACCAATTGCCCATCAACTGGTGAGTGGATAAAGAAGATGTGGTTTTTCTATAAAATGGAGTACTACTCAGCCATAAAGAATGAGAAACTAGAGTCATTCATAGCAGAATGAATACATATTGAGGCCATACTCTTAAGTGAAATAAATAGGACACACGTGTAAATACCAAGTAGTTTCTCTGGTGTGAAAAACTAAAAGTGTAAATAAGATCCAAATTGTATAACTGATAATGTGAAATAGGAAGAAAAGGGCTAACAGTGTAGGGAAGTGGTAAGGGTAGGGGAAAAGAAAAAACTGTGAGAAAAGAAAAAAAGGGAAGCAAAGTCTTTGTAAATAGGGAATGGTGGAGAGGGTGAAGGGAGGGCTGGGGTATGGAGAAAAAATGAGAACCAAGTTCTGTCATGTAAAGGTACAAAATCCCAAGGATGAATGTAACTGTACTGTATACCTAAAAAGTACCAATAAACTCAATTTTAAAAAATCACACAGGGTAGTACTTGCTTCTAGGCATGAGTTTGAGAGTGTTGTTTCTCTTTCAATTTCATTAGAGAGTTTGAGAAGTAGTGGCATGAGGTCTTCTCTAAATTTCTTATAGAATTCAGTGAATCCATCAGAACTTGTGCTTTTCTTTGTTGGTATTTTTTTTTAAATTGGTTTCACTGACATACTGGATTATTTAGAATATTCTTTATCTTCTTGATTTAGCTTTGGTAATTCATATCTGCCTAGGAACCTGTCCATTTCTTCTGAGTTTGCCATCATATTAGAGTATAGGTTCTCAAAGTAGATATTGATGATCTGGATTTCTGCAGGATCTTTTGTGATTTCACCCTTTTCATTCCTAATTACAAGGGTTTGGGTCTTTTTTGTTCCTTTTTTGATAAGGTTAGCCAAGGGCTTATCTATTTTACTTAATCTTTCAAAGAACCAACTCTTCAATTCATTGATTCTTTATGTTGTTTTTCTTAGTCTTCTTTGTGTTAATTTCTTCTCTCATCTTCACAATTTCCTCCCTGTACATGCTTTGAGTTTAACTTGCTCATTTTCAAACCTTGAGGTTCAACATTAGATTATTTTCACTTGCTCTGCTTTTCTGATATGGGAATTCATCACTATAAATTTCCCTCAGAACTGCTTCCATTGTGTTTTATAAATTCTGATATGTCATATTGGCATTACTGTTCAACTGTAAAACTTCAATTTATCTGTGACCCATTGATTATTTAGGAGAGTGTTATTTAATTTCCATGTGTTTATGAAGTTTTTGTGGTTTCTTTTGCCCTTGATTTCCAATATCATTGCACTGTGATCTGCTAATATGCAAGGGGTAATTTCATTTCCTTTGCATTTATTTAAATATGTTCTATAAGCTAGTATGTGGTCTACTTTGGAGAACATCCCATGTGCTGCTGAGAAGAATGTGTAGTCTGTTGTTGGGTGGAACACTCAGTAGATATCTACTAAGTCCATTTGTTCAGATGTTCAATTCAGCTCTGGTATTTCTTTGTTCATTTTCTGTCTAGGTGATCTATTTGTGACAGTGAGGTATTGAGGTCCCCTATTACCATTGTACTAGCGCTTATCTGATTTTTCATATCCATTAATGTTTGTTTTATATAGTTGGATGTGGTGGTAGTTGGTGCTTATATATATTTATACTTGTTATCTCTTCCTCTTGGATTTTTCCCTTAAGTATATAGTGACCTTTGTCTCTTCTGATCAGTTTTGATTTCAAATCCACTTTGTCTGCAAATAGAATAGATACCCCTGCTTTTTTCTGGGTTCCTGTCATATGGAATATTGTTTTCCATCCTTTGACTTTCAGACTATGAATTTCTTTTTAAAACTGTATGCAGCATATTGTTGGATCTTGTTTCTTGACCTACTCTCCAATCTGTTTCTTTTCTTTTTTTGAACTGTGGATCAAACTCAGGTCCTTGTGCTTGTGAGGCAGGCAGTGGAACCAATGAGCTAAATCCCCAACCCCAGTCTGTTTCTTTTGATTGGTGAATTGAGATCATTCACGTTGATGGTTATAACTGATATGTATTATTCTTATCTTGGCTGTATTATTTTCCTGAGGCCAGTTCCCTTTCTTTCCTTTCTGTTTAATTGCTTTTCTTACCTGTTGGAATTCTTGGAAATGTTGTCTTCATTGTCTTTTTCTAAAAGGTTTGTATTGAAGTCTGCTGTGATTCTGATGAGTTTTCCTTTATCTGTGATTTGTTTCTTCTCTCTTATCACCTTTTGATATTCTGTTCTTGTGTTGAATTTCTGGAATCTTTACTATTACAATGCCTTGGTGTTTTGTTGTTGTTTTGTTTTGTTTTTCACTGATCATGACTATTTGGAGCTGTGTATGCCTCACTTATCTATATGTGGAGTTCTTTTTCCATGCTTGGCAAACTTTCTGCTATTCTGTGAATATTTTTTATGCCTTTTATGCTATCTTCTGATTCTTCATTGATTCCAATTAATATTATATAAGTCTTCTTTGCATTGTCTAGCAACTGTTGGATTGATTTTTTTGTGGTCCCTTGCTATTTTTAAGAGGTCTTTCATTTGATGATGGCCTACCACAACCCTATCTTCTAGATCTGACTCTGCTGTATACACTTTCAGTGGAATTTTTAATCCACTGGATTTCTGTTTGAGTCTGGAAATCCAGATACTCTATTTGAGTATGGAATCCAGATATTTTCTGTGTTGAGCATTCATGATTTCCATGTCTTTCCTAAACTTTTTTTTAAATCTGTGTTTACTCTAGATCCACTAATCTTTCCCTTCATTATGATTGTCATCTCTTTAATTACCTCTGTTTTGTTTTTGCCAGGAGACTTATTGATCTGTTTTGTTATTTCTGCTGCCATCATTTCATAAAATTCACCTGGGAGTTTTTTATTTCGTCCACCTTGATAACCCCTTGATTTGACTTGGGCGAGTTGAGGGTTATGGGTTGCATCTTCCTTCCATGTTTTCTCCTTTTCTATTTCTGGTTTGTTTGTTTGTTTGTTTTCTGTGTTGAGGCTTGTAAATTGCTCATGGTAGGTAGCTTTATTAATAGTGTGGAATGACTTTAGGGAATGACTACTTTTCAGAGATGTCTTCTAGGCATAGTTGGCTTTTGACTTTTGAGTCTGTCCCAAGACCCTACTCTTCAGTTTATTAGGGATAAAAGGTTACTGCCTATTTGGCCTAGCACTCAGTTCCTTGGTACTGCACTATAGTACTGTTTATGACACTCAGGCAACCTAGGTATTGGCATACTAGGAAGATCAGTTGATCAACAACTATGTCATCTTAGCTAAAAGTATAATCAGTAATAACATTAGCATCAAGCACAGACTAGAAAATGACAAACTGTGATAACTATTAATTTGTCCCTTTACAGAATAAGATTTGTAGTTATATAACACTAAGGCAAATCAGAAAATTATGTACAGTAAATATCATGTCAGTAGAGCAGTTTGACCCTAAGGAGAGAAAATCTAAAAGGGATAAGAAAAAAAAATAAAGAAATAAGAGAAGGAATTTAGAGTTGTGCATGGTGGTGCATACCTGTAACCCCTGCTCTCAGGAGGCTGAGGCAGGAGGGTCACTGGGAGTTCAAGTCTAGCCTGGGCTACACAGTGAGTTCAAGGCCAGTCTCAAAAAGAACAAAAAAAAGAGTTTAGAACCAAAGCTGAATGACAAAGGAATATTATCCAAACCTTGGGAAATTGGTGAAGACAGGAGGGAAAGAGAGAAAGAAAAAACAAAACAGAAAGCAAACAAACAAAAAAAACAGTGTCCATGAATTTACTCATGAAAAAACAACAACCAAAACAAAAGCAAAGAAAAAAATTTATTTTCCTGTGATTTCAAGCCTGTGACTACTTTTTGAGGTCTACAGTTTTGTGGCAGTGTCCAGTTCAGGGTGTGACTCTGCTCTTGCTGGGAGACAAAGGAGGCAGTCAGCATCCAGATCTGTGCTGGATAATCCCAGCAAGGCTGCATTAGGACAGGATGCCATTCTAGTACTTTCAAATCACAGAAGTTCAGGCTGATCCTGTCCTCTCGTCATGGGGCTTGGGTCAGAGTCACTCAGCCTACAACACTGGATATCTCTTGCTGGCCTGACCATGACTCCCTGACCCTGGGCGTCTCCCACAGCTGTCCCTCAACCAGTCACTGTGGGATTTCAGCCCTGGGGCCCTGACTTATCAACCTCTGGCTGCTCTGAGTCCCGGATTCAGTTGGCCCCTCCCTAAAATGGCACCCTCTCCAGGGAACATGGCAGTCTCTTAGACTAGAGTCACTTACCGGCTGTCCTTCCACTGGTGCATTTTCCCTGGAGGCCTCTGGAGTCACCCACCCTCACTCTGTCTTTATAGATTCGGTCCTCCCTTCTCACACCATTTTCCAGGAGAAAGTTCCTTTTTCTGTCTTGTGGTCTGTCTCTTTACTTTCTCTGTGGCTCACATTTTCCCTTTAGATCCTGCCTGACTCCTAGGAATCCACCTCCCTCCTCCTTTTCTTCCCTGAGTTGTTATTTTCCAGTGTCTGGATTTTGAATCTTAGAGAAGTTCATTTGTTGCTGCTTACCACTGTCCCATGTTCTTGGAAGTCTTTGTATATTGTATTTTAATTACTAATTTTTAAAGTACTAAAATATTTATATTATATATTATTACATAAAATAAAATAACCAGTGAATATCTTTTTTCCTGGTCCAGAAACTACTGCAGCTAAAACTGAAGACATATGAATCATGAATTAATATAACATGATCCTGAGTTTTTAAAAGATATACCTTACTCATAGTGTTACTTTGCGTAGAATCGTGATCTTTCCTAGTAGGTTTTAACATTTGGTGCCTTTACTTGTAGGAGGAATATCACAGTCGTAACTTCACAGAAGTGCTGTCTCCCAATATGTACAACAGTAAACTCTGGGAAACCTCAGGCCACTGGCAGCATTACAGTGAGAACATGTTTACCTTTGATATTGAAAAGGAAACTTTCGCCCTCAAACCCATGAATTGTCCAGGACACTGGTGAGTATTAAAGTGAAGTAGACCCTCCCTGAGTACATAGCACGCTTCATCATAATTAGATTTTAATGCTATTATTTTGCTTTTTGGAGTTAAGTGATTCTTTTTTGTTTTGTTTTATTTTTTGGTACCGGGGATTGAACTCAGATCCTTGCACTTGTGAGGCAGGCGGTAGAACCACTGAGCTAACTCCCCTGCCCATTAATTGATTCTTTAATCTGAAGACTGGTTACTAATCCTATGCAGAGGGCTTTAAAGTGAATTATAATCAATAAGTGAACATTCAGTGGGTGTATGAAAACTGGAACAGAAATTATTCTTCAAATACTTCAGAGATGTGAATGTAAAGTTCAGTAATTCTGAGAAGAGGGTTGGGAAACGTGCGTATTTAGCATGTGCAGGCCCTGGCTTAGATCCTCAGTGATGAATAATAATAAATAAGAACACTGATGATAATTAAAATAGAAGAAATGTTTTAACTTGATGATCTAAGAATAAGGAGTTTGCAAATCTTAAGACTTAATTATAATTTCTTAATATTTAAATAGTTGTCCTTTACTATGCAAAAGCTGTGTTCCTGCATCTCTCCTAGTCTAATGTTTGCCCACCGTCCACGATCTTGGCGGGAGATGCCTATTAGATTTGCCGATTTTGGAATTCTTCATAGAAATGAACTGGCAGGGACTTTAAGTGGCTTAACCCGAGTCAGGCGCTTCCAGCAAGACGATGCTCACATCTTCTGTATGGTGGAGCAGGTAGGCAAGAGTAAAGCATGACTGTCACTGATTCACTGTTACCCTGAACACATCCCTTAGTCTGTCAGAGTTCTGTGTAATATGATGTTTGGTCTGGTCTCTGAGGATTCTCGGCTCCAACATTCGGCGCTTCTCTCAGTTGAGTCCGTAGGACAGTAGTTTCCTCTGGAGGGAGCGTGACTGTCACCTCCCCTGGACAGCCCTCCAACCCCTTCCTCCTGTGTGCTGTGCCTTTTCATGGTGCAGTGCCCTGGGCTGCTCGTTTGCCACCCCTGCTATGGTTGGGAGCCTCGGCCGCCTCACCTGCTCGCACACAGGTAAAGCTGCAAGGAAGGAGCAGGTGATGACCAAAACAGTGACTCGCTGCTAAAATCCGGCTTCATATCCATCTGACACAGAATTTCTTTCATTTTAAAACATGCCACAGGTGCGTTTATTTTGGTGTTCTATCTAAGCAGTTCACTTGTTCTACTTTTAGACTGAAGAAGAAGTAAAGGGGTGCTTGCAGTTTTTGCAGTCTGTTTACTCAACTTTTGGCTTCTCCTTTCAATTGAACCTGTCAACAAGGCCTGAAAACTTTCTCGGAGAGACAGAGATGTGGGATGAAGCTGAGAAGGTGAGAAGAACCAAGGGGCTTACTCATTTTTGTCAATGTGAAGAGCACCCAAGAAACTGCACTTCCCTAGAAATGTTAAAATTAAAAGTTATGGGATAAATATGCAGAGTGTAGAATGTGATTTTCAATTTCTCTTTGAAACAGTGGCAGTAATACCTTATATTTGTTTCACACTCTAAAGTTTATATCAGGTATTCATTTATAGCCTTCATATCAATCACAAATAACCAGCTTAAGGTTTTAACAAAATCCTCCTGTTTGCAGTAACCCTTTATTTGTTTGGGTGGTTTTAAAATGTTGCCTGTGAGTCTTGTTAGTCTGACTCCAGAGTCCCAGAGTTGAGAGCTCTGGGTGTGGACACACGTCTAATGCCCGCATGCCTTCCACAGGCCCAGCCTGTTGTGCCCCCCTCTATCTGGAGACACTCGGGCATCACATGTCAGCTTTGAAAAAGTAAAATCATAAGGTTTTTTTCTTCCTTAAACATGAAAAGGATATAGCGTATCGCCTCTGTTATTAGATGAGAAGGTGTGGTCAGATCCCCTGCTCTGCCCATCGGGCTGCCTCTTCCTGGAATACTCACAGGAGCTGAACACACAAATCAGGAGAAAGAAGAAAGAATTGAACAAACACTGCAGTAATAGTGTAACGTTGATTTTTTTTTGTGCTGCTCAGAGTACAGAGCCTGTCCAGAGGTGTATGGAAGCACTTAGGTCTGAGTTCCAAATGGGGTCTCCTCCCACTGCCCCCGTGCCTGTCCTAAAGTCTTCTGTGTCTACAGCATGGAGGAAGAAACTCAAATGAGACAGTCTCTGCCCCAGGAATGATACTGATTAAATTTACCTGCCAGCCACACAGAAGCAGGAAGAGGCAAACAGGATGCAAAACTTGGCTCAGAGCTGTTTTACCTCCATTGAGTCTTTAGCTGTGTGGATGGAATTACAGGAGACCTCCAAGGATCCAGCATGAAATGGTGGCGGTGGCGGTTCCCGTACTGTTGTCATACTGCCTCAGTTTGTAGTGAGCTTGAATGACATAGCTTACAGAGACATTGGGCACAGTGTCGGGCTCACGTCAGTGCCCAGTGGGTGTCAGGTGTTGGTCTTGTCATCATCATTGTCGCTGTCACCCACTCCAGTCACGTGGAAATGGTTGGGCTGTGGGAAGGTGAAAAAGGGACGGACCAGGGATGGGCCTGGCATGGGGAGAAGGGGTAGAAGTCCCACCATTTTTCGTCTCTTTTAATTGATGTGGCTAAATAGGTTAGCAGCCAAGGCCATGGTCACTCAGGGAGCTGACTGCACCGTCCGGGTGGGCCTGCTTCCACTTCCGGGGACTTCTCACACTGACCTCAGTGGGATGCGTACTTGAGGGTTTTCTTCTTGTGTCTTCAGAAGTCTCTGAAATGATTTGAAAGAAACATATTTTATATAAATCTAAGCTTTCTTGGCCTGGTCTTAGCTTTGCCTGCTCCTATTAGCTGCCTTTTTCCTACCTCCAGAGGCCTCGTGAGAAGCAGTGAGCTCTGTTTTATGCTTTTCTCCAGCGCTTGGTCCTCCTTTGGCTTTTAGAAGCCCTGTGCGTTAGTCAGCTTTCCCGTCACTGAGACACAGCACCTGATGCCCAGGAAGGAAGGTTTAATTTAGCTCATGGTTTCAGAGCTTCAGTACATGACCAGCTGGCTCCGAAGCAGAGACGTCGTGGGGGAAGCCTGTGATGGGGCAAAGCTGCTTAGTTCTTCACAGCAGAGAAGCAGAGCAGGGGAGCAGCACCAGAGAGGAAGGGGCCAGGGACCATGTACTGTATGGTACTCAGGGTCCTGCCTCCGTGACCCACCCACCCAGACACACCCAGAGCATGCTTTGTAAATCTGCTATGCATTTCTTAATCTAACGAAGTTGACAAGTCAGGATTAATGGTTATTCTCTGGGAGCTCCCAACATTCCATTCTTAGTTACTGCTGTGGGAGGGGCTGGTTTTCCGTGGGATCAGTACCGTTGTTCTTTCTTCAGAGAAGTGAAATCACCAGGGGCTTCCATGCCTGTGAAAGGCTGTGTGGAGAGGTCTCTTCCTGGTCCTAAGGAGAAAGGCAGCCGCTTCTGTAAAGTTAGGCCTATGAGTGACAGTCCCAAGATGTCAGGAATGAGATCGCTGCCTCTCCCATGACCAGATCCTGGCTGAGGTCCTGGAAAACCTGCCATGTCCCAAGGAGTCTTCTCCCTGCAGCCTCACAGCCACAGCTCTGCCTTCACTCCCCAGAGTGAGCCCTCTCCCGGGGCACCAGTGTGTAAAGGTGATGACAAGAGTTTGGGTGATGTTTTAACAATATTCTGGCCAATGACTTCGGAATAACCAGGTTCTTCCCAAGGAAGCTGTGTTCACAGGAATACCAGGAGGATGCAGAGCCCTTACTAACACCCACGTGGACATCCACTCAACTACAGGGTGACCCACCCACCCAGACACACCCAGAGCATGCTTTGTAAATCTGCTATGCATTTCTTAATCTAATGAAGTTGACAAGTCAGGATTAATGGTCATTCTCTGGGAGCTCCCAACATTCCATTCCATTCCATTCCATTCCATTGAGACTCTCACCACAAGCTATGTTAAAAGCATGTCATAGCTTAGGCTAAAGACCAAAGTGGGTCTTCTCCCTCAATACCCATGGAATAACAGCTATGTGTACGGAGGTAGAAGAAGAGAGAGAGAAATGGCAAAGCCTCCTGACTTGGCTTTCTTCACCCACCCGCACATTGCATGAGGGAAGTAGTGAGGTGAATGTCCTCCTGCTTTTTCATGTGCAGAGAAGGAAACACAGCATCTTAGAACTCTTACAGGAGACAGAAGACACCACTATGTAGGGTAGAGGGAGCTACACTGAACTAATGTCACATGTAATTAAGATTTATAGTGGCTTTTGTGAGCTATATGATAAAAGATAAAAGTATACAATAGAGTAGAAGTTTTAAATGTTCTCTTCTTTATATATAAACAGCAACTGCAGAATAGCTTGATGGAATTTGGGAAACCATGGAAAATAAACCCAGGAGATGGAGCATTTTATGGCCCTAAAGTAAGTAGACCATCTACTTAAAATAAGAGTAAAATTTAAAAGAAAAATAAGTGTTTCTAAGCAAACATCATTTAATTTACAGATTGATATAAAAATCAAGGATGCCATTGGCAGATACCATCAGTGTGCTACAATTCAGCTGGATTTCCAGTTGCCTATTAGATTTAATCTCACATATGTTAGGTGAGTGAATATGATAAATAATATATACTACTGTCCTAGTTATTTGTCATCTAAGCGTGAACAACACAGAACTGAGTATTAATTGATGTCCAAAACATATGCATGTATTTAGTCTGTGTTTACCTATGTGTAATCTAGTAGGGAATTTTCTGTTGCTAAAGACAAATACTTGAGGCTGGGTCCTTTATAAAAGAAGAGGTTTATTTGGCTGATCTGGTGGCTGGAAAGTCCAGACAGCAAGGCGCCAGCTCTGAGGAGCGCTTCCCGGCCGCTTCTCAACATGGTAGCGAATTTAGGCGTGACTGCGTGTAGAAGGGAGCGAGTGCATGGGCTGAGCTTGAGAACTGACCCAGTCCTGTGAGGCTACCCTTCTAAAGGTAATGCCCAGTGAACTCATCACTTCCCACTAGGCCCCACCTCTAAAGGGATCGACCACCTGTTGGTCTAGGGGTATAGCACACTGAAAGAAGATCCGTCAACACTGTCACACAGTCGGTGTGAGGACCAGGCTTCCACACGTGAACCTGTGGGGAACCCTCAGACCAACCTGAGTGTCCCGAGGACATGGCCTGGTGGAGAACGGAAGATAAGCGAGCATAGGATTAGAAATCTGAACAAAGTACCATGAAAATACAGGCCAGCGGCAGAAAGAGACTCCTCGAAGAGCTGGCAAAGGCCCTCTGAGACACTTGCCAGTGAAAGCAGGGGAAAAGGCAGTTTCATCACTACAAATTACTTCTTTTTAAAAATTAATTGATTTTTAAAATTTTCTTAGTGCATGTTTGCAGTTCATGTAGTTTACAGTCATTATGTGCCAGGAAAAGTGACTTCTTTTAAAAATATTTCTTGACATGCAGTACAACTGTGTGTGCATGTGTACATGCGACATATCCAGGTCGATGAATTTAAAGCATGCGTAGAGTGGAGTAGGCTCCGCAGTTGGAACTGTGACCCTCCAGCCTCCGCATGACGCTCTCTTGCAGTTGTGTTTCCTCCTGCCCTTACCCTGGCAGCCATAGCCACTGATGTGTCCTCCCTCGCTCTGGCTTGGCCTTTCCCAGAATGTCATATAAGGGGACTCACGCAGTATGTGACTTTGGGAGACTGGTGTTTTCACATAGCATAATGCCTTGGAGAGTCATTCGTGTTTTCGCACGTATTGGTAGTTTATTCCTTTGATTGCCTCTTAGTAAGCGATTGTACAGATCTGCCAAGATTTGTTCATCCGTTCACTCATTTGAAAGGCACTTGGTTGTCTCCAGTTTTTCGTGATTATGTATACAGCTTCTATAAACCCTTGTGGATAGGTTGTTGCATAAATACAATTTTTGTTTCTCTAGAGAGAATACATAAGAATGTTCATATGATATTTGTTTAATTTGCTAAGAAATTGCCAAATTGTTTTCCATAGTAGCTTTTCATATTCTCACCAGCAATGTATGCGAATGCCATGTTTTCCACATCCTTGCTAGCACTTGGTATTGTCAGGGTTTGTTTTTTGGTGCTGGGGACACAGAGCCTCACACACACGAAGCGAGCACTCCACCACTGAGCTATACCCAAGCCCTGTTTGTTTAAGGACTTCTGGTAAGCGTATAGTATTTCATTATGTTTTGATTTTGTATTTCTTCAGTTGCTAGTAGTGTTAACATTTTTTTCATGTGTTTATTTCCCATTTATGGATTTTTACAATTTTTCTGAGATAGAGTCTTGCTTTGCACTTCAGGCTGGCCTTGAACTTGTGACGATCCTCCTACCTCAGCCTGTCAAGTGCTGGGATTACAGGTTTGCACCACCATGCCAGGCTTATTGATCTGATTTGATGAAGTGTCTATTTATATCTTTCGCACTTTTTTTTTTTTTTTTTTTTTTTTTTTTTTTTTTTTCCCCTTTTTTTTTTTTTTTTTTTTTTTTTTGTACCAGGGATCAAACTCAGGTCCTTGCAGTTGCAAGGCAGGTGGTGAAACCACTGAGGTAAATCCCTGACCCCTGTCCATTTTTAAATTGGGTTGTTTTCTTATCATTGTTTTGTGAATTCTAGACACTATTTTGATGGATATATGATTCACAAATACTTTTAATCTGTAGCTTTTTTCATTTTTCACAATGTCTAAGCATTCCCATTCAGATTTTTTAATTTCAGTGAAGTTAATTTATAAAAATTTTTCTTTTATGGGTCATGCTTTTTGCACCATGTCTCTGAATTCTGACAAAGCACACGGGCCACCGAGATTCTTTTTGTTATGTTTTATTGTAATTTTTTACTTTTAAGTGTTACATTTAGATGTAAGATCTGTTTTGCAATATTTTTTGGTGTAAAATGTGCAGTTTAGGTTAGTGTTCATTGTTTGCATCTAGATATCTAGTTGTCCTGACATTGTGTGTTGAAAAAGTCGTTCTTTCGTCATTGACTTGTATTTGTTTCTGTCAGAAATCAATGGGACATTTATGAGGGTTTATTTCTAGGTTTTTTTCAGTTCTGGTCTGCTGACTCACTGATTAACCCTCTTCAATACCATACTATCTTGACTGCTGTAGCTTTACAGTAAAATTTAGATTCAATAATGTGGATCCTTTATTCCTTTTCAGAATTGTTTTGCTTTTAATAGATCTACTTAAAATACCCTGGTGGGATCCCTGATTGGAACTGCATTGTATCTAGAGATCAGTTTGAGTGTCTGGACTACATGAAGTACTCTAATCCATGTCCTTCCTTGATTTCTTTGCTCATTTCTTCTAGATTTCAAAAGAGAAGTCTTGTTAATATCTTCTTAAATGTTGAAATAGATGTAGATGTAAAATATCTAGGAGTTTCATTTCTTGGGAGTGATTCTAAGTGTTACATTCTTAATTTTTGAATCCATATGTCCATTGCTACTATAGGGAAATGCCACAGAGTTTTGTATGTTTATCTTGTATCCTAGGACTTTGCTGAATTCATTTATTATTCTATAAAGGGTTTTTTGTGTTTTATTTTTGGCGATAGGGAGACTCTTGGGATTCTCCGTGGTTGTAGATAAGCTTGCCACCACAACAGGGACAGTTGAACCCTTCATTTCTGCTTGCATTGTTTGCTTTCCCTTGCTGTACTATACTGGCCAGAATGTCACATAACTGTTGAGGAAGAGGGATGAGAGCAGACACTGTGGCCTTGTTTCTAGTCCTAGGAGTTATCACTTTGTGTACACTGTGATCTAAAGGTCTGTTGTAGATGTCCTCTATCAAATTAAAGAATTTCCCCTGTATTTCTAGTTTTTCAGAAGTTATTATCAGAAACGTGTTGAATTTTGTTAAATTATTTTTCTTCATCAATTGATATGGGCATATGATTTTTATTCCGTAGTCTGTTAATATGGTGGATTACGTTGACTTAGAATATTGGAGAAGCCTTGTGTTGCTGGGATAAAACCTACTTGATTATGGTATGTCATTGTTTGTTGTATATCACTGGATTCATTGTCCTGATAGCTTGTTGAGTGTTTGATGTGTGCTATTGGAGTATGTTAGGATAATGTATGTTATTGAATGTATGTTATTGCAGGATATGGGTCTGTAGTTTTCTTTCTAGTGACATTTTTGACTGGTTTTAGTGACTGAGAATGCGGACCTCATCAAACAAGTAGGAAAGTACTCCATACCATTCTGTTTTGTAGAAATTATAATATAGAAGTGATGTTATTTCTTTTTCTGATGTTTGGTAGAATTTGTCATGGAAAAACCAACCAGTGCTATAGGTTTCCTTTAGGGGGAAAAAAGGCAAAATTATTGGCATGTTTCCAATCCAGCAATTTTTGGTAGAATATTTTACTATTAAGATTCTTATGACAAATGAACAACAACTTTTCATCCAAGGAGGATGTGGAGAAGAAATAGACCAGCTGAGCAGCCATCAGTCCTCAGTGAGTGTGGAGAAGAGCAGAGCAGTGGAAGCAGTGGGCAGTAGATAGGTCAGAAATGATGATTAAAACCAGAAAGTGGTAGTGGAGATGAACAAAATGGGTGTGTTTAGTTATGTTTTGAAGGAAGAACTCATGGGATTTGTACAGGCGTAGGGAAGAGAGAAGCATCAAGGTTAGTACCATGGTCCAATAAGGGTTATTCTAAGAAAGCAAAGGAAGTTTACCATGGAGGTTTGTATTACTGAATTCATTGCATTCAACCTTGCAGAAAAGCACCAGGTAAAGTTTAATATTCACTCCTGTGAAGTGGGCAGAAAGAAATTTATTGTGATAAATAACATTTATCAGAAAGCAGCAGTTATAAATATCTCAAGATGGTTGGGAAGGGGTAAATGTGCCTACTATCTGCCCTTATCAAAAATGATGATGATGGCAATTACAACTCATTTGAAGTGAACGTAACAAATGAGTCTCTTTTTATTTTGTGTTTTAGTAGTACCTAGCTGGTATGAGTCTTAGATGAAAACTTCTCATATGAATATACTGTATTTATTGCAATAAAATGGAGTTCATCTTTCCAGGAAACTTGGCACAGACTTTTTTGGAGTGGCTTACAATTAAAGGTCATATGTGCTTTTTTCACCTTTTTTTTTCCCCCTAAAGGAGAGGAAGTCATTAAATGTAAATTGTGTGTCTTAGAGTTTCAGGTCTGCAAACAGCATCTGAACAATGACTTCTAGAACAAATATCAAGAACATTTTGAAAAATGAAGTTTATGGTGGGGCCAGGGTAGTGGCAGGAGTAGGGTGTATTGGGTCGAACAAGCTTGGTTGTGAGTGGACATTCTATGAAGCTGAGAGTGTATGTGGGAACTCATAATACTACTATCTAATCTTTTGTATGTTTTCTGTGTTCTCTGATAAAAAATTTAAAAAATAAATGAAGAAGCTACCAAAGCAGTCTTTTGTTTGAGGAAACAAAACAGCCACCAGTAATGTCAATGGAGAAATATTTAGAAACACTAACTCTACTCAAAGTTACATATAAAGAAACTGGGTGTGGTGGTGCATGCCAGCCTTTGGGAGATTTGAGTCCAAGGCCGGCGTGGACTACATAGCAAGATCTTGTCTCAAAAAAAGTTAAATAAAATGAAGACAATAAAATTATTTCTTAGGAGAATACTGAAATGTATAATTTTTATTTTTTAGTAAGGATGGGGATGATAAAAAGAGACCTGTGATCATTCACCGAGCCATACTGGGATCAGTAGAAAGGATGATCGCCATTCTCTCAGAAAACTGTGGGGGTAAATGGTAAGTGATAATGGGAAAGAAAAACTAGATGTCTCTTATCCTTAAAAATGATGTTTATCAAGATTAAATTGGTACCTGCTGGACATTTAGCTCAGTGGTGCTGCCACCTGCCGTGCAAGCACAAATTCCTGAGTTCGATCCCCAATACAAAAAAAAAAAAAAAGATTAAATTGGTAGGAAAAATTGGAAGTTCCTGCTTTATAGTAGCAAATACCCCAAAAGCAAATAAAGAATTCTTGTTTCATTTACCAGATCAGAAAACAGAAACAAAGAAAGCAAAGGCAGAGTGGTGTAAAGCTGTACTATTTGCTCTTTGGGGCACTCAGTCATTTCCAAGAGTTATCTTTGAACCTGTTTGAAGTCTTCGAAGGTCCAGTGGCTGTCTGGAAGACTGTGTTCAATTTCCTGGGGTGCTGCCCCTCGCTGCACCATCATCCTCTGCAACCCACGTTGCATACATGTGTGGGTTTCCTTTGGCCATCGACTGAGAAAGAAAACATGTAAATTGATCAGTGAATGGCCTGAATAATAGAGCAGCACAGCAGAGGATAGCTGTATTAGCACATCCCTATTTAAGGGTGATGGTGGGGAAGGGAAATGTCTTCCCTGCAGAATGTGGAGTGATGCATCTTGAAGTCCCCTTTGCTTGGGAGAAAAACCGGTCAAACTTATGGAGCTATGCTGATGCAGGGCTCTGGCTACTGCTTTGGACACAAGGTCAGAGACTGAGAAGTATAGACTGGAAATATAGGTGACAGATCTAGGGAAAAGAACTGTGACTGCTCACAGTGCCACAATAGTGGTGCATTAATCAGCTTTCCCGTCACTAACACTTAATACTTGACACCCACATGTTAAAGGAGGAGAGGTTTAATTTGGCTCATGGCTTAGGGGGTTCAGTCTATGGCTGGCCGACTTCAAGGCAGAAGTATCATGGTGGGAGGACATGGCAAGGAAAGCTGCTCGCCTCACGTGGACAGGAAACAAAGAAGGGAGGAACTAGGCCCAAGAACACACTCTTCCAGGATATGCCCCATGACTCAGCTCCAGTCAGGCCCCCCTTTCTAGTAGCACACTTTAGCCATGGACTCATCATCAGTGGATTTATGCACTGATGAGGCTAGCGAGAACCCCAATCCACTCACTTTAAGAAGCCCCACCTCTGACTACGTAAGACTTTTAGGGAATATTTTATACCTAATCCATCAAGATGATATTGCCCACTAAAGTCCTTTATTGTTGAAGGGATTTTTCTACTGTTCCGGTAACATCTACTGATGGCTCAGTGGTTTATGAATAAATAAAATGATCACAAGGGGACATGCATAGGCTCATCAAATGGAAGTTCCCTCACCGAGTTCCATCACTGTACTCTTCCTTTGAGAAGTAAGGCATTATGCCTACATTATTGGGCTTGCTGCTGTCCTGGTACACTGAGAAGCAACTGGCCTCACGAGCCGTCACAGTACCACCTGGCAGATCACACATCCGTGTGACCTAATTTCTTACAATTAAGAAATTGACAGAGCATCCGCTAATGCAGTTCATTTCTCTCTTTAGGATCTACCGCCCCCACTGCTGCTGTTGCTAGGCACAGTATCTGTAGCTCCTGCTCTGGACACTGGGTGTGGGTGCCACTGCTCAGGTCACTGTCACAGATTTCTTCCAAAACTGTCTTTGCATCAACCCTTGTCAGAATGGATTCTCCCTGGTTCCTCCTCCTGTGTGCCACTCTGTCCCAAGTCAGCATGCCATGCTTGAAATGACTGGCAGAATCTAGAGTCCATGGATGTATTCTCACACTCACAAAGAGAAGCAAATTTCTGAGCAGTAAACATAAGATGGGGAATTTTACAAATTGAAGATCTTCCAAATGTAGACGCAAGTAGAGTCTGCATATATCCCTAATCATTGAGATCTGAAAATATACTGTGGTATCATTTAACATCTAAGCTATTACAGTTACACAGAAGCTAAAAGTAAAGGCATAAATATACATGCTACCTAAGAGAATTAGTTAGCTTTGCCATTGCTGGGTCAGATTACCTGGTACCACAATTTGAGGACAGGTTTATTTGGCTCATAGTTTCAAAGGGCTCGGTCCGTGGTCAGCTGGCCCCAAGGTAGGAACATCATGGTGGAAGGGCATAGCTGCTTACTTCATAGCATCCAGGAAGCAGAACAGAGGAACAATACCAGAGAGAAGGATAAGGGATCAGATACGACCCCAAGGTCACTGCACATCTGTGACCCACCCAGACACACCCGGAACTGGGCTTTTCTAATCCCCTGGGCAGATCCTGAGCCAATCAAGTTGTCCAGTATCCGTATCTGTGTATCTACACTAAGTATAAGTGAAGTGGTGGTGTCTTACTAGACTGGTACTGGTGAAGGTCACAGAAAGATAATTTGTGGAATCGGGAGTTGGAGTGGGAGACGGGAGCTATGCCAGTGTATTGAGTGGGCCATCCTGTTTTGAGGGACTCAGGGATACTCCCCATGCTTCGTGCAACAAGGTTTCACATATTGTTTCTAAAATATAAGAAAAGTATGTAAATATATATCCATAAAGTACCATGTGGAAATAGTCCCCACTTTACACTGACCTTCAATCTCAGTTCTCACAGTGAAGAAAATGGCAAATATGTCCTATATGAAATATTCCTTCTACTCGCCCTCTATATGTTGTGGATACATTATATTTTGGCATAACCACAGGTTCACATGTAGTTACAAGAAATAAAACAGGATCATACTAGCCTTGTTCCGAATTTCCCCAATGGTAAGATCTTGCAGAATTTTATAAAGTACTACAGCTGGGAAATAATCATTGATGTGATTATCAACTTCTGTTCACATCTCACCAGCTTTACCAGCGTGCACTTATTTGTGCATGTGTGTAATAAGTTCCGTAAGGTTTTATCACATGTGTGTATCAGGCAACTGCCACATGCAAGATGTGCACTGTTATCTGCTTCGACCCCTCATGCTGTCCTTGTATTGCCCCACAGGCTCTGTCCCACTCCTGCCCCTAATCTGGCCACTGTGAATCTGTTCTCCATCTCTGTAATCCTGTCATAAGTGGTACATAAATGGAATCACACAGTATACAATAGTTTGAGATGGGTTTTTTTTATTCGGTGACGTTCCCTTGAGATCCATCTTTATTCTGTTAATTATCAGTAGTGTGTGTGTGTGTGTGTGTGTGTGTGTGTTGGGGTATTGGGGATTGAACACAGGGACACTCTACCACTGAGTTACACGCACAGTTTTTATTTTTTTATTTTGAGACAGGCTCTTGTATATGTTGCTTAGGCAGGGCTCAAACTTGAGGTCCTCCCTCCTCAGTCTCTGGAGTGGCTGGAATTACAGGCAATATGGCTAATAATTGGTTCATTGTGATTGCTGATGGTACTACAGTTTGGCCATTCATCTGCTGTGGAATATTTGGTGTGTTCAGTGTGGGCTATTGTAAGTAAAGCTTCTGTGCATTTTGGTGGACAGGATCTGTGTGACCCAAGGCTGCATCTCTAGGATAAATGCCCAAGAGTGTAATTCATGATTACCCTTCAATCTGTTTTCCAACACATGCTTCCTTTTCCTTTTCTATAAAGATTGCAAGCTTTTTTTGTCTACTCTACTGCCTTTTAACTCTCAATATAGTTTAGTTTGCTTCCACACCATTCTGCTCAAACTATCATATGCAATCTTACTTGAAAAAAAAAAATCCTTGGTTATTTTTTAATCACATAGTAAGTGGTCATTTTGAAATGATCTTGAAAATGCATATTTTATATATTTTTCAGGCCTTTCTGGCTGTCTCCACGTCAGGTAATGGTCATCCCTGTGGGGCCAACTTGTGAAAAATATGCACTTCAGGTAAAATCAGATATATTTAAAATACATGTAACTTTATTGTGTTTTCCATTAAGTCATTGACTTGGAATGTTATTCATGCTTTTAAATACTGCATAGCTGATACATTATGTTTTCAGTAATTGGGAATAACACACAAATCCTGTCTATATAGCTGTATTGAAATTGTTTTATTTCTAATGTTTTTGAGAAATTGATGTTCTTGTTTGAGATAAGGTCTCACTACGTAGCCCAGATTGGTCTCTAACTTTCAGCAATCCTCCTGCCTCAGCCTCCTGGGTGCTGGGATTCTAGGCTTGTGCTCCCTCCACCCTCAAGAAACTGGTATCTTGAAACATTTTATATGTTTTGGTCACTTTTCTTGTTGCTGAGAAAATACCCAACACTCAAAGTTAAAGGAGGAGAAGTTTATTTATCTCACAGTTTATAGAAGTTTCAGTCCATAATTGGCTGCCTCTAAGGCAGGGTGGTATGGCATATGGGCATCTTGGTGGATAAACAGTTCATGGTGGACAGAAGGCAGCAAAGTAGCAAAATAGTGAAGAGCAGCAAGCAGCAAGCAGGGACTGCAGCAACACTCTTTCTGTCCCTTATATCCTATCCAGGCTACCTACCCTTAACATGGGTAGCACTCACACCCAGGGTGGGGCAGCCTTAATCCTAGCATCACATCCTGATCCCAGCATCACACCTCCTAGATCCAAATCCTATCCAGGCTACCTACCCTTAACATGGGTAGCACTCACACCCAGGGTGGGGCAGCCTTAGTCCTAGCATCACATCCTGATCCCAGCATCACACCTCCTAGATCCAGCCACCTCCCAAAAGCCCCACCTATGAGCACATGAAGCTTTGGGGGGACATCTAGACACAAGCCATTACATCACAATTAAAGTGTTTTTTTTCACATGAAGGAAGACTACCTTATTACCTGTTACTACATAACAAATTAAAAGTAACTTAAAGCAATATTTATCTTTTTTTTACAAAAACAGTATTTATCATCTCTCAGTTTCTATGCATGAGGAATCTGGGAGCAGTGTAGTTTGTTGACCCGATGCAGTGTCTTCTGAGGCTGTGGTCAGCTGCCAGCAGGCTACAGAGACCCCAGGGGCTCGCTCACATTCACACACCTCCACTTCTCACCAAGTGGGCTTCTTGCTAGGCTGCCTGAGTGTCCTCATAACACAGCAGCTGACTTCCCCCAGAGTGAGTGATCTGGAGAAATGGAAGCTATGGTCTCACATCCTAATCTCAGAAACTATATCCTTCACTTCTGTCCTTCACTATGGGGTCACACAGACCAATGCTTTTACAAGGTGGAGGGAGCAACACAGTTATGAATACCCGGTAGGGAACAACAAGGGTTGTTCTGAGTCTGGCTAATGTAGATAATATAATAATAAAAGTATTCCATTTCTTCTAGGTATCCAGTGAATTTTTTGAAGAAGGATTTATGGCTGATGTTGATTTAGATGACAGTTGTACACTAAATAAGAAAATACGAAATGCACAGCTGGCTCAGTATAATTTTATTTTAGGTAATTTAATATATTTTTCAAACACTTATTTTTTTTGGCTTTAATTCCAAAAAACAAAATAAGTAATATGGTATAAATACTTGATAATTACAATCTGACTATTAAATACTTACAAAGATAAGTCCTGGGTTAGCTGTTCTTAGATGCTCTTTTATAATTTTATTTTAGGTAATTTAATATATTTTTCAAACACTTATTTTTTTTGGCTTTAATTCCCAAAAAACAAAATAAGTAATATGGTATAAATACTTGATAGTTACAATCTGACTCTTAAATGCTTACAAAGACAAGTCCTGGGTTAGCTGTTCTTAGATGCTCTGTTATTTGCTGGAAGAACAGCTATAAACTTTAACATGAATCCTATGCTGTGGTGTTACAACAGTTAAAATCTCAAACCAACATGAAAAGAATTTGAAAATTATCTCTTCAGTAGAATTATATTCCTTGTGTTTTGGTCATATGGCAGGCCTGAAATACTTTTCCTTGCTTTTCAAGTTTGTTAGAAATCTTGGGGATTAAGTGAGTGAATGAAAAAGATTCCACATTTAAAATGATCAAAAGGAAAAAAGATAAATGAAAAACCAAAATATCCCAGAGGCACAAGAGTCATTTGGTACACAATCTACAATTTTGGCTTTAAAAATGGTTTTGAAATCAAGAGAAACTGATGTTGATATGCTTGCAAGCATGACACTGTTATTTACTAAAAGAGACTGTCCAAAGCAAACATAAATATGCATAGAATTGTCCTGTCAACAGTTGTTCACTGATAATATCTGACTCTGTAGTAGCTACTGTGATGTTTCAATCAAACTTGTAATGACAGAAATCTCAAATTAGCTTAAACAGAGATAGAATTTACTGGAAAGGTATCAAAGGGTCCTGTGATATGAAAGGTAGAATTAAATAGCCAAATCATAGGAAAAGTAACTATCAGGACCTTGCAAGAACCACTTGTCCACATTTCTGGTTCTTGTTTTGCTCTGGTCCTTTACACTTTTCTTGAATACCTACTTTATTCTACTTATCTGTGGACCAGGTTTTTCCTTCCATCAAGCAATAAAAATAAACGTGGCTACAAATTTCTGGATTATCTTACAGTATACATCACTGGACAGAACAAAGTTTTATTCCCTACATTCCAGAAAATTCTGGTTTGCTGGTTGGCCTGGATGTAACGTCCATCTTTTGACTTCTCAACTATGACAGGTGGAGTTGAGAGTGTCTGTGAGAGTTCTCTGCTCCCATTTGTGCCCCAAGGCCATAATACGATTCTCTCAAGTGGACAGTTTAGAGACTGGATTGGAAGTTGTTCCTTTTAAAGACTCTCAACTCTCAGAGGAAGAACCTAGTGGTCATTAGATTGATATTTAGTGATTATTATTGAGGAAAAACTCAGGCATGTGTCATGCAACTATTGACTTAGTGGTTAATAAATCACTTTTAAAATATCCTTTTCCCCCTTGTCTATAGTGGTTGGAGAAAAGGAAAAGATAAACAATGCTGTAAATGTTCGAACAAGAGACAACAAAATTCATGGAGAGATTTCAGTAATTTCTGCTATTGATAAATTGAAGAATCTCAAGAAGTTACGTACGCTAAATGCTGAGGAAGAGTTTTGAAGAACTTTCCTTGTACTTCTTGTTTTGACCTTTGAAAAATGTACTTTTCTTAAACAGTTAACATGGTAGTACTTCTTAGAACTTTGTATCCATTGATGGGTTCACTTATGGAGTCAGCTGAGAAAGGAAAAAAATGAATGCATAGTTGATACATACAGTGTTTAATTCATTAGTGTATTCTGACAGTGCTAAAAGGAGCAGCTTTGGACATTTTCAAATGATATCTTCAGTGACCTGAATGATGAAATGTTACTCATCAAAAGGAGGAAACATTAGGAAATGAAAATTATAAAAAGTTATTGCTCGCGTTTGTGACTTTCCAAAAATAGGCTTAGAGTTGGGGATGTAGCTAGTGGTAGAACCTATGCCTGGAACAAGTGAGGCCCTTGGTTCAATCTCCAGCATCTAATGCGTAAATAAACAGGGATCAAATAAAAGTCTTCAAAGCTGTTTTGAACATGGGAAAAAAATCTTATTTTCCAATAATATTATGTCTCAGGTATTTTTATGGCTGTTTATTACTAAAGTTCACACTGAAACTTTATCTCTCAAATTGGAATGATTAATTTGTTTCAATTAAGTAGCAACTGTAAGAAATAACTAGCATTAAATATTGGGTTACTGAAAAAGGACTGTGAACCTTAAAAGAAATTCATTATGGAATCTTTTATTTGCACGTAGGTTAAAAGTTGCAGTTTTAATGCTTCTATTTCATAATTCTTATATATCTTTAGAGAAAATATATTCCCAAATAAAATGAATAATGGTGTTTTCAGTGTTTCAGTGATGGCCTTATACATAGTAAGTTAAATTATGTTCTTGATGAGTTATATAAACTCAGTTTCTGATTTTAATTGAAAAGAATACTTGGTTAGAACATAATTGAAATGGCTTTAGGTGAATAAGGAATTTAGTTATCAATCTATTTGAATATTTATTGAATATTTGGCAAGGTGCTGCAGAATTTAAAATAAATGCAAAAAACTCTTTTCAACATACTGGTGTTTCCTGGGGGATGTGAATAAATGGTAAACAGAAGTATATCATCAGACCTGTGCAGAGCATGAATTGAGATCGTAATACAATTTTTAGAGCTAACGTTTATCTGGGGCTTACTCTGTGCAAGCGCCATTCCATATATTCTCTTCATTCATCGATCATGCACATGAGGATTTGGGGACTCTGAAGACCCCAAGTGAATAATGACCTTGTGGCAGTTGGATGATGAGGCCAAGCATGTTAACTACACCCTGCGAAGTGCCCTGGGATGTGTTCAGGCAAGCGTTCTCCAGAGGGCTGTGCGTGGACCCTCCTTTCACGTGAAAATCTCAGACTGAGCTCTTGTCCTAGTCTTTCTGGGCTGTCCTGCCTTTCCCAGTCTTAATATGAATTTGCTCTAAGTAGTACGCATAGTCAGAGTTGGCCAGGTTGACATCTAAGACTGGCTGAGCGCCCAGGTCCAGGAGGGGTGGGTCCCTTGGGCTCCTGTCACACCATAGGGCTTTTTCTGCCAATGCTGGGTCATTTTCCTCATCTGTAAATAAGTACAAAGTGAAATGTGAACATGTCTGTTGGGAGCCAGTCATAGCCCACTGGCTTTTTGAAAGGTAACTTCTTTCTTTATAATCAAGGCATTGACACAATGTGTGGTCAGGATGTTCCTAATTAGCATTTGTTAACATTTGTTCCCTTTTAAGGACTGCACGTGTTAAACTTGTTTTTGACCCTGCACGGGAGAAACTCGGATAGCCAAAGTTCTGTAGGAGTCGGGTGCTTCCTGTTAAATATCTGACGTTATCTGTAGGAGTCAGGTGTTTCCTGTTGTGCCTTTAAAAGGCTGATGCTTGCCTGCAATAAACGTCGCCTTGATCAGACTCTTGGCGTCCTTCCTTTCTCTCTGCCCCGTCTCCACCCCGCTGCTCTTTCAGGTCTGAGACACTGCTGGACAGTGCTCTGCGTCGCCGGCTCGAGACACATGTCATCAGAACTTTCACACTGGGCCTCCCAAAGAGTAGGAATTTTTGTTTCCAAATTCGTACATCCGCCACAGGCGAGGGCGGCATCTTCCGAAAAAGCCTGCTTCTGCCTTCAGTCGCTTCAGGTGTGAATTTTGGTCCCAAGGTGATCCTTTCCCAGGATCCACGTGAGAAGAGGGTGAGCAGCCTCATGACATCGTCTCCACCGCCGTCCCCTTACTTCCGGCGGAAGAGAGGACACCCAATCTTCGGGGGCTCGCAGCCGCACTGCGCCTGTATCGCGCCTGCGTCGCGCTCCTCGGCAACGCCCCGGAAGTGCGCGCGCCGGCAAGATGGCGGCCGCAGTGGGTTCGTTGCAGGCGCTTGTCCTCCTGTGCCGGTTGCTGCTCTTCCTGTCCCAGTTCTACGTTTTGTCGGGTGGTGGTGAGTTAAGTGCCGGGGGCTGCTGCGAGCTAAGTGTTAGAAGGTCCCCAGAGCCGTAGGAAGCGTCCGTGCTGGGCCCAGAGCTGACGGTGGAGCCGCGTCCTGGCCGAAGGGGAGCAAGCGCTCAGGTCTCGGCCCGGCTGGCGGAACTGGACCCGGTACCACCCTTGTCCCCCAGTTTCCCGGAGACCCGAGCCGGTGTCGGCCCTGTCGGCGTTTCCTCCTCTTAGCTTGCTGTCTTTTGGCAGCGATGCGCTGAGGTTGTCACGAGGGTCATGGCTTGGTGTGGTCCCTGCGTGTCAGCTGCACAGCCAAGGTTTCCACATCCGGGATAACGTGTTTCTCTCATTGTGGAACCTTAAATTTAGAGCACTCGCAGCCGCTGACTCAGGCAGTAAAGGATCCGGGCCCAACACGCACATTCACAGTAGTTCCCAGGGCAGCAGGTACTAGACATTTTCTGTTCTAGTAAATGTGCATATTTATCTCAAGTAGTTCCTGTTTTTGATTTAAACATTTTATTTTAGTATGCAAAGTTTACTTAGTTTTTTACTATTTTATGTACTGTATTTTAGGTTATGTGAATTAAGGGCAGGTATCAGCCGTGTTCAATTTTAGTATTTGAATACTTTTGGATATCCCTGACTCATCTCTTTTTCCAGTCTTATGCGCCTTATGTTGTTTTCCCACTTATTCCATCAAGATATCCTTTAATCAGTCCTGTTTTGCCTTCAGAAGATTTCTTGAATCTCTAGAATGCATTTCCTAATGTTGAAGTTAAAAGACTCTGACAGTACTGTGTGAATTAGGAGGATAAGAGACAGACTGATAGACACTTGGAGTCTAAAACTGGGGGTGCTATTGAGAGATTGAGGAAATTAGTCACCCTTCTTGGGTCTTTGTTTCTTTAAGGCAGTAAGGTTAGTGTGGCTGCCTAAAGCCGGTTCAGCTTTGAGTCTTCAAGTGTCCAGTTTTAGCTGTGTACAATAGCAATAGAAAAAAGAGTGGTATTTTGTAAAATTGACTACATAGTACATCAGTGTTTAATAAATGGAAAATTTGGCTCTGTAGTTTCATCCCTTTAGATTTCCATTGCTTCAAGTGATTCAATATGGGCAGAGGTATTTTATCTATTCTTATTTGGATGTAAAAGACAGTGGCATGGGCTGGGGATTTAGCTTATCGCCTGCCTTTCAAACCCAAGGTCCTGAGTTTGATCCCTAGTACCAAAAAAAAAAAAAAAAAAAAAATCCATTGGCATACTTGAATTTAAAATGCATAGTTTTCAGAGGAAGTTTAAAAATCCTAGGTGTTTTTTTTTTTTTAAAAAAAACACCTATCTTCTCCATAATATTTGCAGTTTTTATCCTCTCGACTGAAAAAATATTGCATACCTAGCAGGGTTGGCTGAATAAAGTTGAAATTTAAACAAATTATTAAAATAGGGAATTTTGGAACTTCAATAATGTAAAAGTATAAAGTAGCAGACCAGCATATTGAAGTACCAATGTGGAGTGATAAGAGAACGTTTTCTAGGATTGGTGCACTGGGTGTCAGTGGCCTCGTTTCCCAATCTGAATTCATGGAAAGAGCACTGGACTGGAAATGGAGGGATTTGGGTTTAGATTCCAGGTTTGCCAGACTTTTTGTGAAAATTTTCATAAATTCTCATGTCTAAGTTTTAAGTTTTTCATCTTATAAATGGTCAGGTGTTTGAGATATACTACCTTATAGCCAACATTTTCTATACATTATTTGTACATGACCACTTTATTCTTCTTGACCCCTTGCAAGGCAGGAGTGAAATACTTTTTACCAGTGTGCTGCTCACAGGGCACAGAGTTGGCTGGTGTCAGACCTTGCTTTAATTGTAGCTGCCTGTGCCACTGACTCCCAACTCTGCTTTTTGCATTCCAACCCAGCACAGTGTCTCATTGATAATGGTCATCTCTTTACCTTAGAAAATTGTCTTCCTCTGTTATTCTGGTTGGTATTAAAAAAGAATAAGCCACTCTCTCACCTCTCACAGAAAGTACCGAAATCCCACCTTACATCATGAAGTGTCCAAGCAATGGTTTGTGTAGCAGACTCCCTGCAGATTGTATAGACTGCGCAACAAATTTCTCCTGTGTCTATGGGAAGCCTGTCACTTTTGATTGTACAGTGAAGCCTTCCGTTACTTGTGTTGTAAGTACTGTAGCTTGCTAATTTGAATCAGTGCATTGTAAATCTCAAGTTAAAAGTGCAGTTTAGGGAGTGGGATGTAGCTCAGTGATGAATGCAGCATATATCCTGCCTTCAGACTGTAACTCTATCAAAAAAAATGTAGTTTAGACTTGTCTATTGTGGACAAGATTCTGCAATAATTTTTTATAGTATAACTGCCCTGTAAGACATAAAGCAAAATAAATTTTAATATCCTGCATTCCTTTCCACATCAGATTGCTACTCTTCCAATTATCATGGTAACTGACAAGCCCCATTGGTGTGGGCAGCATATGTGTTGACAGAAATGCTGCTTTGTAGGACTTGGAGATCTCAGTTTATCAGTGTCCCTGAAGCACGTGTTCTTCCTTCAGCTGGCTCTGAGTTCTTCGTAGCGAGGGCTGGTTGTACAGAGGGGCTGGTAAGGTCTTTATACTCTGGATGAGGTGGTGATGGGTTCAGCTTTCTCAGTGGTAGGAAGATGTGTTCAGTAAATGCTGAAATGCCTGTGTGGCCCTCTGGAAAAAGATGAAGTTATTCCTTGCCTCATCCAGAATTAATTCCAGGTAGATGTATAGTTGGAAGGAACAGACGATAACCTTTCCTGGGGTCCTCCAAGATGCAGGTTTGGAGAAGAGTCCAGGTTCCCTGACCCCAGCCTGATGCCTCTAAGTAGAGTGCACTGGCTTATTTCCAGTTCCAAATCTTCCCTCCTGTCTCCTGTTGCAGTCCACACCAGTGACTTCTTACTGCTACTCCCATCCTGGGAGCACTTGGCATGGTCACCCAACAGGCAGCCGAAATGAGAAGAACTACCTAATGTAGCAGTTCAGACTCTGCCTGTTAATGTGGTTTTTCCAAGCCTGGAGGTGCTGGGCAGGTTAATAGAGCTGGAGAAAAATTGGAATGCAGAAGCAAGGCAGTGTGCTATGCTTACAGAAGCATCAGGCTGGGGTCAGGGCACCTGGCTTCTCCTGACCTGCAGCTCAGTGACCTTAAATAAGTGCGCTCTTCTGTTCCTTCTAGCTATGTGACTGTGACTTACAAAGTAATTTTTCCTCTTTTATCTACATTACAAAAGTACACATCCTCATAAGAAAGTTAGGAAAAAGAAAGTTACCCTGAAAAAATTTTTGTTTTTTTGGGGGGGTGGGGTGCAGGGGATTGAAGTCGGGTCCTTGTGCTTGCGAAGCAGGTGGCAGAACCACTGAGCTAAATCCCTGGCCCCAACTTTTGGTATTTTAATGTGAGTTTGTGTAGATTTTTTCCCCATACATGGACAGTATATATTTGAGTGTATATTTTCATGATTATAAATCATGCCATGTATATTTGTTTTTTGGCACATACTGTTTTGGTACACATTTTTCTATGACTCACTACTAGATTCTAAATACAAATGTTTTCAAAATTTTGTACCATATGACTATGTAGTCTTATTGACATAATGACAAATACCATATTATGATTGATGAGCCCATGTGCTTTGGTTCATAGGATCAAGACTTCAAACCCCAAAAGAACTTCATCATTAACATGACTTGCAGATTTTGCTGGCAGCTCCCTGAAACAGATTATGAATGCACCAATTCCACCACCTGCATGACGGTTTCCTGTCCCCGGCAGCGCTACCTTGCCAACTGCACAGTGAGGGACCACATTCATTGCTTGGGTAAGTTGGAGTGCAAGGAAAATATTTTCTCCAAGTTTGCCGAAGGGACCAAAATATCAGCAGATTTTTAGATGTGATAAGCCTCAGTAATAAATTCAATGCATTAAAAGAATATGTCCAGAAAATACACAGTTCTTATTAAATATAATATTGATAAAACAGAATATCCAAAACAGTATTTGGATTTTATTCAAATTAATGAATGGTACAGTACTAATACTGTTGCAAGTAGTTAAGTGCTTTGCTAATTGCTTTGCATTCTTCCCAGATAACTAACCTTTTGAATTTTATCATCTTCTTCCTCTTTACATTTTTCTTAATTCTAAGATAAGCTTTGATCCTAATAAGTTGTGTAGGTAGCAAATATGCTGTGATACACTATTCACTAGTACAAGCTTTAGATCTTCCTAAAACGACACCAGGCTGTGGTCTGAGACTCTTCTTTTCTTTCCACATTATGGCTCTAAGATTCATCCTTGGGACTCTTCTATAGGGTAATCTGTTGTAGGATTGTAGCAAAGTTTATTTGTTCTCCTAGGTATTTAGATTATTTGCTGTTTTTAGCTCTTGGCAGCCACTGTTAAAACTTCTGCACATAGCTCCCAGTTGCACATGTGCAAGTGTGTCTAGCATATACTCTCCTGCAGGTACTGTCTTCCAGAATGCTCTTACTAATTTACATTCCCACCAGCAGTTATACATACCTTTGGTCATACCTCTTATCTTTGTCTTTTTATTAAAGATTTCTGGGATTCTTTTATACTTTCGATTTTTAACCATAGGTGTCCCTAAAACTTTACCAAATTTTAACTTTTCCTCTCCACGTTCTTTGGAGAACCTTTTGATGATGAGTGAAACATTAAAAATGAAGGTAGTGTAAGTTGTTAGTCTTTTTATAGTTAACCTTTTTTGTTGTTTAAGTATTTTCCAACCCACGTTTATAAAGATAATTTCCTGCATTTCCTTTTTAAAATTATCAGTTTGGCCTTTACATATAAGTTTGTAATCACCTGGAATTGGTTTTGTTAGATGGTATGAGGTGCACAACATGGCTAAACCAGTTGTTGCGATCCATGTGTATGTGACCTCTGTGATAGGCAAGATGTTTTGTGTGGCTCTGGGTGCATTGTTCCTCTGGGATGATTTATTTGTCTCAGACCGCACCGTCTTATTTACTCTTTATCTTCACCAAGTCTTGATATCATGTCAGTCATTTCACATCCTTCAAGCTGTAACCCTAACTTTCCTGATTTAAATATTGTCTATATTGTTGATTGTAAGGACTTTGTGCTATTAAGCATTGCTTGCTGTAAAGAGAGGGGACTCTGAATTACAAAGCCACTAGTTAAATTAAGTCTTTGTGACAGTGTTTCTGTTTCCATGTTTCTATGCATAGTGTTTTCTTTTTTGTAAGGTAACCGTACTTTTCACAAAATGCTGTACTGCAATTGGACTGGAGGCTACAAGTGGTCGACCGCTCTGGCTCTAAGGTAAGCTTTGATACTAATAAGTCAAAAATGCCATCTAGCCAGGCGTGGTGGCGCACGCCTATAATCGCAGCACTCGGAGGCTGAGGCAGGAGGATTGCTGTGAGTTCGAGACCAGCCTGGGCTACATAATGAGTTCCAGGCCAGTCTCAACTACATAGTGAGACCCTGTCTCAGAAAAAAAAACAAAAGAGAAAGATGCCATCTAGATTTCTGTGGACTCTCCCATGCATTATGCTCAGCCAGTATTGTCCTGCACTCAGACCCTACTGTACGTGTTAGAGACACTCCAGGATGCTCAGACCAGCCTCTTTGTGGACTTTAGCTACAGGCATGTTAGCTTTGCTTCCATGATGTCTGTGTCCTCCAGAGATGCCGTGAGTCATTGTAATAGACTGTTAGAACCAGCCAGGGCTTCCCATCCTGAACTTACATGAACCAGTAAATTCCTTAGACTTTTAAAATGTATAGGTTTATAATTTATGTTTTAAATTTTAAGCAACTTTCTTATTTAAAAAAGTGCTCTGGCTGGGGATTTAGCTCAGTGGCACTGTACCAGCGTGCCAGCATACAAGGTCCTGAGTTCGATCCCTACTACCAAAAATAAATGAATAAATAAACAAATAAATAAATAAATAAATACATTCTCAGTACTCAAAATTGGAAAAAATAAAGAAAAACGTTAAAATTACCTGTAAGTTTGCCATCTCTTTCCACCAAAAAGAATGGCAGGCAGCACCCTGGTTAAATGGTTAATTAAAAAGTTAGGCTGTCCACATTTGAAGTCCTACAGCCTGAGACCCTGACACCTGCAGTCCTGCGCTGTGAGATAGGGAAGGATTTTTCCACCTTCTCACTGCTGACATTTGGGGCACATTCTTTGTCATGGACCTGTCCTGTGCATAGGAGAATGCTCAGCAGATCCCGGCCTCTACCTGCTCCTCCTGGTCAGCAACTTCTCCCACCCTCAGGGGTGACCACAGGGGCTCCTCAGACATGGCCAGGGTTTGGGCTGGAGAAAGAGGAGTCCTCTCTGGCCAGAAAGTATAACTGGAAAGTAAAAGACAAATCCAAGATAGAAAATTAGATAATAAGAAAATAAAATTTGATAACTGGCCATACATGGTCTTGGCCTACAGTGGTTCCAGTTCAAACGAACAGCTGACTTTTTAATAAAAGCTTACTTTAGAATAATTTTAGAAAAAGTCACAAGAATGATAGAGAGTTCCTCTACACCCTCACCCAGAGTCTCCTACATTGTTAATGTCTTACATTACTGTGGTACATTTAACAGCCAACGTCTACAAATTAAGAGCCGTTTCCTTCTCAGAGCTCACTATTCTTGCTTTCAAAAATCTCACCGTAATGAGATAATGTCTGAAGATTTGCTGCAAAGTACTTTTGTCCTGCACTGTCTTTGGAGTATCACTTGGCTGCGCAAGGCCCTTCCGTAAATAACATAGTATTTGCCTGTAACCTGCACACATCCTGTTGCAGGCTTCAGATCATCTCTGGAGGACTTGCAGCACCTAATGCAGTGTAAATGCTGTGTCAGTAGCAGTAATACTGTGTTGTTCAGGGAAGAACGATACGAAGAAAATCCTGTATGTGCTTGATACAGGCACAGTTCGTCTTCCCAAGTGGCTTTGCTCTTCTTAGACTTTTAAAATGTATAGGTTTATAATTTATGTTTTAAATTTTAAGCAACTTTCTTATTTAAAAAAGTGCTCTGGCTGGGGATTTAGCTCAGTGGCACTGTACCAGCGTGCCAGCATACAAGGTCCTGAGTTCGATCCCTACTACCAAAAATAAATGAATAAATAAACAAATAAATAAATAAATAAATACATTCTCAGTACTCAAAATTGGAAAAAATAAAGAAAAACGTTAAAATTACCTGTAAGTTTGCCATCTCTTTCCACCAAAAAGAATGGCAGGCAGCACCCTGGTTAAATGGTTAATTAAAAAGTTAGGCTGTCCACATTTGAAGTCCTACAGCCTGAGACCCTGACACCTGCAGTCCTGCGCTGTGAGATAGGGAAGGATTTTTCCACCTTCTCACTGCTGACATTTGGGGCACATTCTTTGTCATGGACCTGTCCTGTGCATAGGAGAATGCTCAGCAGATCCCGGCCTCTACCTGCTCCTCCTGGTCAGCAACTTCTCCCACCCTCAGGGGTGACCACAGGGGCTCCTCAGACATGGCCAGGGTTTGGGCTGGAGAAAGAGGAGTCCTCTCTGGCCAGAAAGTATAACTGGAAAGTAAAAGACAAATCCAAGATAGAAAATTAGATAATAAGAAAATAAAATTTGATAACTGGCCATACATGGTCTTGGCCTACAGTGGTTCCAGTTCAAACGAACAGCTGACTTTTTAATAAAAGCTTACTTTAGAATAATTTTAGAAAAAGTCACAAGAATGATAGAGAGTTCCTCTACACCCTCACCCAGAGTCTCCTACATTGTTAATGTCTTACATTACTGTGGTACATTTAACAGCCAACGTCTACAAATTAAGAGCCGTTTCCTTCTCAGAGCTCACTATTCTTGCTTTCAAAAATCTCACCGTAATGAGATAATGTCTGAAGATTTGCTGCAAAGTACTTTTGTCCTGCACTGTCTTTGGAGTATCACTTGGCTGCACAAGGCCCTTCCGTAAATAACATAGTATTTGCCTGTAACCTGCACACGTCCTGTTGCAGGCTTCAGATCATCTCTGGAGGACTTGCAGCACCTAATGCAGTGTAAATGCTGTGTCAGTAGCAGTAGTACTGTGTTGTTCAGGGAAGAACGATACGAAGAAAATCCTGTATGTGCTTGATACAGGCACAGTTCGTCTTCCCAAGTGGCTTTGCTCTGGGGTGGTTGATGTGTGATGCGTGGTCCCTCCAGGTGTGGAGGGCTGGGGCTCTGCGGGTGGGGTCGGGCAGGTGAACACTGTCCACAGTGGGGTTGGCCACACATGGGGTATTGTCCCAGTATTGTTAGGTCAGATTTTGAAGCAACCATAGAAGTTGCTGATTTATAACACACAAGTTTTAGAAAAGACTGAAAAAATTAGATCACTTGATCTGAGTCAGCTGAATGTGTTAGACTGCAGCTCTGTACTTTGTCAGACTAGGCCCTGCTTTGAGTAAAAACCTGAGATTGACTTTTTCTCCCCCGCAACTTTTCAGTACTGGGGGTTGAACCCAGACCCATCACCCTGAACTACGCCCTCGGCCTTTTTTTTTTTTTTAATATGTGGCAAGGTCTCACCAAGTTACTCAGGCTGAGCTCCTCCTGCTTTGGCCAAGTGCTGTCACAACAGGCATGTGCCTAGCTCAATTATTTTTCTGTTAAAGAAAATACCATTTTCAGCATAGCTAAAAATTGTGTGTTTACTCTTTTTTTTGATGCTAGGTATTGAACATGCTAAGCCATAGGTTTTTTTGGTAGTAGTCTTCTTGCCTGTGGTTATTTGGAGCTGTGACTTTGTGAGTCTATCATATGTGTTCTCACTAGTGCTGACTGAACCCCTGCTCGCTGCACTGACGGAGTCCCTCCCGCTTTGCCTTTGCAGTATCACCCTGGGTGGCTTTGGAGCCGACCGCTTCTACCTGGGCCAGTGGCGAGAAGGCCTTGGCAAGCTCTTCAGCTTCGGCGGCCTGGGAATATGGACACTCATAGACGTCTTGCTGATTGGAGTTGGCTACGTGGGGCCAGCAGATGGCTCTTTGTACATTTAGCTGTGGTTATGTGCTTCCAAGAGGAGCAGCATCAGAGCATGCGTTTGGCTGCAGGAGTTGATGTATTATGAGTGATGTATTTTTATGTTTTTAATGTACAGCATCTGTACTTTGCTTGCCTTGATGAAGGTAAAATAAATGAAACACTGAACTGTGCTAACTTGAAATTTGTTTTTATTGGCCTGAATTTTTTTTTCTGTGAAAAATGTAAACTTGGAGCCAGAACAAATTCTGCTTGGTTATAAATCCATCTAATTGCAATGGCATTAGTTTTTTATTGATATTGTGTAAGTCACACCATTTCCTTTTATCTCTAGCCTGCCTGCCGTCTGCTTTGAGAAACCTTTCAGCTGGAACCGAGGAGACAGGTTCTGTTCTGTTAGCAGAATAAGTCACCTACGTGTGCATCTGTTGTCTGTCAGCTTTGTGGTGATAAAATGCACAACTTTTGTCTGGTTGCCATGTTTGAAAATTTTTTTTTTTTACTCTTGCATAAAAGGATGCAAGAGTACTGAAAACTTTAATAAAACTACAAATTTAAGAAATATTGTAGACCTGTTTCTGTATTAAAATTATCTTAACTAGCTGGCTGTGGTGGCGCACGCCTGTAATCCCAGCACTCAGGAGGCTGAGGCAGGAGGATCACTGCGAGTTTGAGACCAGTCTGGGCTACAAAGTGAGTTCCAGGGAAGTTTCAACTATATAGTGAGACCCTGTCTGAGGGGGAAAAAAAAAAAAAAAAAAATTATCTTGACTAATTAGCAACTTATCTTTTTTATTAAGTAAAATATTCTTCAGGACATTAGTTTCAGCAGATAGAGTAATTGGCTGGTTTATTGACAAAAATGTTGGAAAATATGTTTCAGTGTGATAAATACTTGAGTTGGTACAGATCTGTTGTAGATCCTTTATTGGACAGAAAAGCACTCCAAAATGGATTTTACTCAAAGTTGCTTTTGAAATGTCATAAATTTCTTAGCATTCTTCCTTTCAAATTTGAGTGTCTGAGTACTGCTTTTGAAACAGCTGCGCATATTAATAGCCAGGAGACATAAGTACCATAGCAGATCCAGAAGCTGTAAAATATACTGAAAATCCCGTGAGACCAGTCTGTTTTCACCTCCAGATTATTTACTAGTTGCAGGTTGCTTGAGAGGGGAATGAAATCCCTTTGGTGGCAACTTGCTGAAGGTGGCTTTTTGAAGCTTAGCGTGTTAGGTGTGTTTGGGGCAGGTGGAGAGCAGTTCCGCCTCTGGTCACTAGGTGGTGCATCCCCAGAACGTTTGCTTTCCCGCTGTTTCCAAAACCTCTTAAATCTTTTCCTCAAGAATTGTTGCAGAGCATGGGCAGTAGCTCTGGCTAGGAGTAGCCCATGGTGCACGCCCTTCTTTTCAAGGGCAAATGAGCACTTTTTGCCGTAAGACTCAGTGGAAAAGGCATTTCTTTAGAAGGGGAATTTTGCCCAGGGGCAGAGAGAGTAAGAAAGGTCAAGATAGGCTGTGTATATGAACCAAACCCCCAAACTGAGTGTAATCACTATGTATTGCAAACACACTGAGAAAAGGGACTTTTCCTGCAAGAAGCAGTCCCTTGCTAACTATAATAGTAACTTTCTAGCGATACTAGTAACCTTTGCTCCGTGTAGAAGAAACATCTCCCTGTTGAGCAGCCACATGAGATGGGGCCAGGGAATGGAGTCCAGGGAGTTACTGGCTGTGCACTTCACTTGTGGAGGAAATAAGTAGCAGCTTTCTCAATATGAAGCTGCAAAGTGTGAAAAGTGAAATCTCAGAGGAACGGGACGTGAATGTTGTTCCCAAACCCTAAAAAATTAATGTGAAGGAGACTTTAGAACCCAAGGAACATTAGCCAGCTAGGGATCTGATTCTTTTGGTGGAGCTGGTCTCCAAGACAGAACTAGTAGGATATATGAAGAGATGCTTAAACACATGAGTAATAGACTGCATGGCCCCGAATATTGCAAAATAAAACACTTTCAAAGGGTACTTCCCTGGGTCATCTACAAATCCCATGGGCCTTTGTGGTCAACAAAGGGCCATGTTTGGGTCTGGCCTTCAGGTTCTACTCCCATGCTGCCTTAAGTCTGTTTAGGCTGCTTTAACAAAACCAACTGGATGGCTTACACAAATTTATTTCTCAGTTCTGAAGGCTGGGAAGCCCAAACAGCTGGCACGTTTGCAGTCTAGTGAAAGCCTATTTCTGTACATTGCCTGTGTCTGTGCATGGTGTCAGTGGGAGGGATTATAAGGGTATTGGTTCCTTCCTGAGGTCTCCACCACTATGGCTTGATTGTCTCCCAAATCTTGAGGGCTAAGATTTGAATGTGAAGGTTTTGAGGGGTAGGGGACACATCAAGCACATGTGCCATAGGCTGTGATCAGCGGGTGTTGGGGGCCCTCTTCCCACAGGCTGGGTATTGTATCCGTCAGACTTCCTCTCCTGATGGTTCCTGCATATTCAGGGTTTGTCCCTGCAGTGTGCCATCTGTCATAACGTCTTTCAATCTCTGCATTACGTCCTCAGCACTTGGATTTACCCAGTAATTCCTTGCAGGAAGGTGCCATGTTATTTATTTCTATCTCTTCATCCCTAGCACAGTGTCTTGCACACTGACACCTTCCTATATTGCTGAGGAACTTAAGGCCACGAGTGTCTTGGAGGTTTGAAAAAGGTGGTGTAGAAGTCCAGGAACTTGGAGTTGAGGTCACTGTAGAAATGTACAAAAACTGTCTTTGGGTAAACACTTGTCTATAGCACCGTGTTAATCCTGATTTCTGCAAACTGCTGAGGAACAGTTCTGGTTTATGGGGCTTATAAAATGATCTTTTTAAAAGATCTGTGCCTCAAGATTTTAAAATGTAAAAATATCTTCTCTATGCCACACTACTTCGCTCCACCAAGATTTGCTTTATATCTTATGCCAGAACTGCATTTATTTTTGGTGGATCGTCAGCTAAGGAATTTGCAAATGATTTTTTTCCTTCTGTCAGCAATGAGTAGAAAATGAGCTCTATCTGCTGCAGTTTTTCAAATACACCACTGAGAGAGCTCAAAATGAAGAGAATCCTTTACCCCTGTCTGAAGCTTCCCCTTTCTATGCTATATCCATTGAGAGCACTTTCATTTAACTATCAAATGTCACAAGAATGTAGAGGGTATATGACTTAATTTCATTTATTTATATTTATTGTTTGTACTGAGGATTGAACTCAGGACCTCCACATGCTAGGCAAAGTCTCTACCACCAAACCCTTAAAATTGTTTTCTATGTACTAATGATGCACACAGTGTTTTGATATGGGGAAGTGATCCCTATAGTCAAGAAAATAAGTATTTCCATCATCATACACAGTTACCTTTTGTGTGTGTGTGTGTGTGTGTGTGTGTGTGTGTGTGTATGCGGTAAGAACATCTAAAACTTACTCTCACAAAATTCCAGGATAGTGTTTGTGGCCCTTGTTATGGCTTAAATATGAAGGGTCCCCCAAAGACTCATAGACGGAGGGCTTGATCCCTAAGGCAGCAGTGTTCAGAGGTGAGACCTGGCCAGGGGACTGGGCCGTGAAGGATTCACCCACTGACAATGAGTTCAGACTGAGCGGATTCCTGGGAAGGGAGCCCAGTGGAGGACGCAGATCACTGGAGGTGTGCTGTCTCTGGTACCCTCCTCTCTGGCTCCTTCTGGCTGCCACGAGTTGTACAGCTTTCTTCTGCAGGGTCCTTCTACCATGACGTTCCTACCTTGGAGCCAGCTGAACATGGACTGAAACCTCTGAAACCGTGAGTTAAACATAAATCCTTCTTTTACATTGTTTATATCAAGTATTTGGTCTCAAAGATGGAAAGTACACTAAATCCTAATGCTGTACATTATGATTTCTTGCTTGCTTATTTGTTTGCAGTGTTGATCAAAACCAAGGTAGGCAAGTGCTCTATCGCTAAGCTACACCATCAGCCTCTGTAAGCTACTTTTAAAATCTAGGGAAGATTAGTATAAATTCTTAGATTTGAAGTATTGGAATTATTTCTATAAACATATTGGGTTTTGTCTTTTGTTTTTTGGGGGGTTTTTTTTTGCAAAATTAGGAAAGTTTGCAAAAGAGATATAATTTACCAAGAGCCTCCGTGAAGGCAGGCAACCTCTGGTTCCCTGTAGTCCAGCTTTGAGAGCCCTGACTGGCAACCAGGAGATGCACAGTGACTGTTTGAGGGATGAATAATGAGAAATCTCCAGGAGCAAGTAATCACATAAAAGTGCTGCTAAGATTGTTTTTAAAGTAGTAGGGCACATGGATCACAACATCTGTCTTTTCAAAATAGTTAATGATATAAACACAATATAGTAGAAACCAGCACATACTTTGTACATACATGCACATGCGCACACACATACAAGCGAAAATCTCATCAGCAAACAAGCAAAGGCTAATAATGTCCTGAAAATGGCAAAGGAAGAAAAAAAGTATTGCTCCAGTGTGCAAAACTACTCCCACAAATGGTCCTGGTCAATCAGCAAAATCCAGGGCAAGAGAAATAGATTTACTGGGAGAAAGGGAATAACATCTTTCTCTTTTCCCTGTTACTGCTGAAGGATGAAACCATAACCTTATGGATTCGCCTTCCCTAGTCTTATTCACTGTTTCAACAAGATTGCTTCTAATCAAAGAACTCATTTCACAGAAAAATTAATGAGGCACCAAGTGTGAATTCATGCTTTAAAAAAGCAAAAACAAAAACAAAACCAGGAAAATGGCCCTGACAATAGCCAGACTATGGTTGTAACCCCTAGACATAAAAAATACACAGCAAACAGACAGTACTCCTTTGTACCGCCTAGCTTCTTAAAGAGGAAGCTTTGGTCACTGGTTTGAGACTGCTCTCATTTTCTTGATTTGGAGTGGTGGCGTGGTGGTGATGGTGGTTTCATTGATTGGTGTTGTCTGCTTTGTTTTGTTCTTAATGTTAGAGATAGGACACAAAGTTTCACATATGCTGGGCAAGCACTCTACTACTGAGATATATCCCAGCCCTCTCATTTTCTAATCTAAGTATTTCATGCTATAATTGTCCCTCTAAGGTTTTTGAGGTATAGCTCATAAATTCTGTTGTATATAATTAAAAATATTTTATAATTTCACCTTTTTTTAAGAGTAGGAAAAATTTGTTGAGGGAAACAAAGCTTCTCACTAAGAGAGTCAGAAGGGGGACCAGAAAGTTGGGTTGCCCTATAATTACACTTTTAACTTCCTCTTGAACCCAAAGGTTATTTTAAAATGTACTTTTTAATTTCCAAGTGCATGAGAATTTTCAAGATATATTCCTGTAATTAGTTTCTGGTTATATTTCATTGTGATCAAAGAATAACATTTTATTATTTTGTCTCTTAAATTACTTGGTTTTGCTTATGGCGCAACACGCTCCATCATGATAAATGTTATATGTGCACTGGAAAGAAATGTGTGTAATTGTGTTTTATAAATGTCAGTTAGGTCAAGTTGATTAATAGCATACTTTAGGAGTTTAGATCCTTG